CCAGACAGCGAGAACGTGACTACGTTAACACATGGGAATATGATAGTTAGTAATCCCAGACAGCGAGAACCTGACTACGTTAACACAGGGGATCATGATAGTAAGTACACCCAGACAGAATGAACGTGACTACATTAACATAGGTAAATATGACTGTTAGTACTCCCAGACAGCGATCACGTGACTACATTAACATAAGGGAATATGGCTGTAAGTACACCCAGAGAGCGAGAACGTGACTCCGTTAACACAGGGGAATATGACAGTTAGTACACCCAGACAGCGGAACTGTGACTACGTTATCATAGGGGAATATGACTGTAAGTACTCCCAGACAGCGAGAACGTGACTACATTAACACAGTGGAATATGACAGTAGGTACACTCAGAGAGCAAGAACGTGACTACGTTAACACAGGTGAATATGACATTAAGTACTCCCAGACAGCGAGAACGTGACTACATTAACACAGGGGAATATTACTATAAGTACACCCAGACAGCAGGAACGTGACTACGTTAACAAAGGGGAATATGACAGTAAGTACACCCAGACAGCAGGAACGTGACTTCGTTAACACAGGGGAATATGACAGTAGGTACACCAAGACAGCAAGAACGTGACTACGTTAACACAGTGGAATGTGACAGTAAGTACACCCAGACAGCAAGAACGTGACTATGTTAACACAGGGGAATATGACAGTTAGTACACCCAGACAGGAGGAACGTGACTACGTTAACACAGGGGATTATGACAGTAGGTACACCCAGACAGCAAGAACGTGACTACATTAACAGAGGGTTATTTGATGTACACACACCGAGGCAGTGAGAACGTGAATATGTTAACATAAGAGAATATGACTCTAAGTACACCCAGAGAGCAAGAACGTGACTACATTAACATAGGGAAATATGACTGTTAGTACACCCAGAGAGCGAGAACGTGACTCCGTTAACAGAGGGGAATATGACTGTAAGTACATCCAGACAGCGAGACTGTGATTACATTATCACAGGGGAATATGACTGTAAGTACTCCCAGACAGCGAGAATGTGACTACATTAACACAGGGGAATATGACTGTAAGTACACCCAGACAGCGAGAACCTGACTACGTTAACATAGGGGAATATGACTGTAAGTAAACCCAGACAGCGAGACTGTGACTACATTATCACAGGGGAATATGAATGTAAGTAGTCCCAGTCAGCGAGAATATGACTACATTAACACAGGGGAATATTACTGTTAATTCACCAAGACAGCGGGAACCTGACTACGTTAACACAGGGGAATATGACAGTAAGTACACCCAGACAGCGAGAACGTGATTACGTTAACACAGGGGAATAGGACAGTAAGTACACCCAGACGGCGAGAACGTGACTACGTTAACACAGGGGAATATGACAGTTAGCACACCCAGAGAGGGAGAACGTGACTACTTTGACACAGGGGAATATGACAGTTAGTATACCCAGACAGCAGGAACGTGACTTCGTTAACACAGGGGAATATGACAGTAAGTACACCCAGACAGCAGGAACGTGACTTCGTTAACACAGGGGAATATGACTGTAAGTACACTCAGACAGCAGGAACGTGTCTACGTTAACACAGGGGAATATGACAGTAAGTACACCGAGACAATAAGAACGTGACTACGTTAACAGAGGGGAATATGACAGTTAATACACCCAGACAACAGGAACGTGACTACGTTAACACTGGGGAATGTGACTGTAAGTACACCCAGACAGCAAGAACGTGACTACGTTAACACAGGGGAATATGACAGTAATTACACCCAGACAGCAAGAACGTGACTACGTTAACACAGGGGAATATGACAGTTAGTACACCCAGACAGCAAGAAAGTGACTACGTTAACACAGGGGAATATGACAGTAAGTACACCCAGACAGCGAGAACGTGACTACGTTAACACATGGTAATATGCCAGTAGGTACACACAGACAGCAGGAACGTGACTTCGTTAACAAAGGGGAATATGACTGTAAGTACACCCAGACAGCAAGAACGTGACAACGTTAACACAGGTTAATATGACAGTAAGTACACCCAGACAGCAAGAACGTGACTTCCTTAACACAGGGGAATATGACAGTAAGTACACTCAGACAGCAAGAACGTGACTACGTTAACATAGGGGAATATTGCTGTAAGTACACCCAGACAGCGAGACTGTGACTACATTATCACAGGGGAATATTAATGTAAGTAGTCCCAGTCAGCGAGAATATGACTACATTAACACAGGGGAATATTACTGTTAATTCACCAAGACAGCGGGAACCTGACTACGTTAACACAGGGGAATATGACAGTAAGTACACCCAGACAGCGAGAACGTGATTACGTTAACACAGGGGAATATGACTGTAAGTACACCCAGACGGCGAGAACGTGACTACGTTAACACAGGGGAATATGACAGTTAGCACACCCAGAGAGGGAGAACGTGACTACTTTGACACAGGGGAATATGACAGTTAGTATACCCAGACAGCAGGAACGTGACTTCGTTAACACAGGGGAATATGACAGTAAGTACACCCAGACAGCAGGAACGTGACTTCGTTAACACAGGGGAATATGACTGTAAGTACACTCAGACAGCAGGAACGTGTCTACGTTAACACAGGGGAATATGACAGTAAGTACACCGAGACAATAAGAACGTGACTACGTTAACAGAGGGGAATATGACAGTTAATACACCCAGACAACAGGAACGTGACTACGTTAACACTGGGGAATATGACTGTAAGTACACCCAGACAGCAAGAACGTGACTGCGTTAACACAGGGGAATATGACAGTAATTACACCCAGACAGCAAGAACGTGACTACGTTAACACAGGGGAATATGACAGTTAGTACACCCAGACAGCAAGAAAGTGACTACGTTAACACAGGGGAATATGACAGTAAGTACACCCACACAGCGAGAACGTGACTACGTTAACACATGGTAATATGCCAGTAGGTACACACAGACAGCAGGAACGTGACTTCGTTAACAAAGGGGAATATGACTGTAAGTACACCCAGACAGCAAGAACGTGACAACGTTAACAAAGGTTAATATGACAGTAAGTACACCCAGACAGCAAGAACGTGACTGTGTTAACACAGGGGAATATGACAGTAAGTACACACAGACAGCAAGAACGTGACTACGTTAACATAGGGGAATATGGCTGTAAGTACACCCAGAGAGCGAGAACGTGACTACGTTAACACAGGGGAATATGACTGTAAGTAAACCCAGACAGCGGGACTGTGACTACGTTATCACAGGGGAATATGACTGTAAGTACACTCAGACAGCAGGAACGTGACTACGTTAACACAGGGGAATATGACTGTAAGTACACCGAGACAATAAGAACGTGACTACGTTAACAGAGGGGAATATGACAGTTAATACACCCAGACAACAGGAACGTGACTACGTTAACACTGGGGAATATGACTGTAAGTACACCCAGACAGCAAGAACGTGACTACGTTAACAGAGGGGAATATGACAGTTAATACACCCAGACAACAGGAACGTGACTACGTTAACACTGGGGAATATGACTGTAAGTACACCCAGACAGCAAGAACGTGACTGCGTTAACACAGGGGAATATGACAGTAATTACACCCAGACAGCAAGAACGTGACTACGTTAACACAGGGGAATATGACAGTTAGTACACCCAGACAGCAAGAAAGTGACTACGTTAACACAGGGGAATATGACAGTAAGTACACCCACACAGCGAGAACGTGACTACGTTAACACATGGTAATATGCCAGTAGGTACACACAGACAGCAGGAACGTGACTTCGTTAACAAAGGGGAATATGACTGTAAGTACACCCAGACAGCAAGAACGTGACAACGTTAACACAGGTTAATATGACAGTAAGTACACCCAGACAGCAAGAACGTGACTGCGTTAACACAGGGGAATATGACAGTAAGTACACTCAGACAGCAAGAACGTGACTACGTTAACATAGGGGAATATGGCTGTAAGTACACCCAGAGAGCGAGAACGTGACTCAGTTAACACAGGGGAATATGACTGTAAGTAAACCCAGACAGCGGGACTGTGACTACGTTATCACAGGGGAATATGACTGTAAGTACACTCAGACAGCAGGAACGTGACTACGTTAACACAGGGGAATATGACTGTAAGTACACCGAGACAATAAGAACGTGACTACGTTAACAGAGGGGAATATGACAGTTAATACACCCAGACAACAGGAACGTGACTACGTTAACACTGGGGAATATGACTGTAAGTACACCCAGACAGCAAGAACGTGACTGCGTTAACACAGGGGAATATGACAGTAAGTACACCCAGACAGCAAGAACGTGACTACGTTAACACAGGGGAATATGACAGTTAGTACACCCAGACAGCAAGAACGTGACTACGTTAACACAGGTGAATATGACAGTAAGTACACCCAGACAGCGAGAACGTGACTACGTTAACACAGGGTAATATGCCAGTAGGTACACACAGACAGCAGGAACGTGACTTCGTTAACAAAGGGGAATATGACAGTGAGTACACCCAGACAGCAAGAACGTGACAACGTTAACACAGGTTAATATGACAGTAAGTACACCCAGACAGCAAGAACGTGACTGCGTTAACACAGGGGAATATGACAGTAAGTACACTCAGACAGCAAGAACGTGACTACGTTACATAGGGGAATATGACTGTAAGTAAACCCGAGATACCTCAGTAAGCAGAAGTGAGACAGTTTGTATGACGTCACGGTTCATGTTAACAAAAGAGGTTGAGTAAAAAAACAAACTTCAACAAAGTATTGAACACGTGTAACTCATGCAGTGTCAAATGTTAATCATATTCATGCATTAACCTTTAGTCGGGGTATTAGTTTTGCCAGACCTTCTTTAAAGTACCTATTTCTGACAATTGTTTCAGATCCTGTGAACTCTGATTGTCATCGACTTGGTGAATATTGTCTGGATGGTGGTTCATCATGTTACTCGAACGGCGTCTGCTGGTGTTTATATCCTCATACAGGACCAAACTGTGCCATAAACAGTGGTAGGTTGTCCGTAAGAATCTGAACGTCATGTTATATGTAAACGTTTTTTGCTTTTAGCATAGTTATACCAAATGTTTGAAATAAAAGTGTAAGTTATTTCATTTCGATTTTAAGATGCATTAATTTAGATAAGAAATAGATAGTGCTGCCCTCGTTGAACTATGGATGCAAAACAAGACTGATTCTACGTAAGATTGATATTCACGTATACGTTTATTTGAAATATATATTATGAAACATAACATACCCTGCCAATCCAAAAGGCCGTATGGCATGCGGGGTGACTTCAGCTTTTCAGTTGCCAACTGCCCCTTTATGTAGACCAATATTCAAGTAGCTCCAACCTTTAGTATCCACATTTAACAACTTTTGAGGTATAGTCGATAATACACCTCTTCGAAAATGGCAATAAGCGTCATACGACTCTTGCTCAGTTGAAATTTCAAGATACGTGAGTTAAAATTTCAAGAAAATGACCTAGACATTTTGAGATAATAAGTTGAAATATCAAGATAATAATTGAAATTTCAACTTATTATCTTAAAAATTCAAGTTATTATCTTGAAATTTCAACTTTGTATCTTGAAATTTCTAAAAAACATATGACCCTAAAAGGCTTCCGTACTTGAACTGTGTCAGGCGTGTCATCAGTGCATTGGTCACACAGAGGTGACACCTCCTTATTCTTCTTCTTCGTCACTATTCTTTCACTTATACGTTTAGAGCACATATAATTCTTGATCAGTTTTAGAAGGCAGGGATAGATCCACTGTATTCAAATGACCAACTCCATGTTTAGTTCCCAATTTATAAATGTTCAGGCCAAACGGAATCTTGCCATGATCTTGTCATTATAAGTACAAGTATCAGTAACTAATTATCAATGATGCGCTAGAAAGGTATGTCCCAATACACACTTGAAAGACCCTTTCAGGCAGAAATTACTGTATCCATCTGAACACCGTTTATACCAAGCTTTGTGATTTGAAAAGCGTCCCCTATGGTTCGACCAAAGGCAGTTAAACAACCAAAGAAAAATGTTGCCAAATAGGCCAATGCTATAAGCTGACCGTAAACTAAATCATTTCATTCTGTAAGTCACAATATCTGGTCCCATGTGAACAAAACAGAGAGAATTACCTCCCCTACCCAAATTCGGGTGGGCGCAGTATTTTGGGAATTCATTGTCGGGAATACTGTGCGCAGTAAAAAAATACATCGTATCCATTCAGCGAAATTTGCCATAACAGCATCACCAAACATGATAATTTACCATTTAACGAGGCAGTGTATCAACATTTTAAAAACCCCAAAACATCTAATACTGGATACACGTTGGCAACATCGTACATTGTAACCTATATCTTTGCACTTGCTTGCAAATTTACATAGATAATTTGATGGGTATAACTTTGTTTTATTCTTTCAGATCACATACAAGGAGGACCTGGCTGTGGCAGTCTGGACTGTGTCCACGGGACGTGTATGTCTAATGGGACACTAGCCACCTGTGCATGTGACCGGAACTATACAGGCGACCTCTGTGACAGGGACAGATGTACGATAACCTGATTTATAGAACAATATTCACAATATTTCCCTACTGCAATTCTCTTTGAAATCACTTGGTACTACGTTTATGTTAAAGAGCTTCTTGTAATGTAACATTGCTCTTACTGCTGAGACCATAAATGACTATCGTCAAATTTAATTCATTGTGGATCGTCTTTTGTCTAAATAACTGTTTTTAGTTCAACACAGGTGTTCTTTTTATATATCAGTATATCACTCGTTTATGATTCTGACTTCTTGTATAGCTTAAAAGATTCAGTATTGGATCTAGTTGATGGCATGAAGTGCAATCTCTAATTCTCTACTTACTTTCTGGTGGATTACTAGAATGTTACTGTGACTGCAAGTAGCCACAGAATATTTGTCTGACACATATTCTTCTCTTTGCAGAAAATTGCTTTTATCATCTGATGTCAGTATAAATACAAGCGAACCACACTGTTGTCATCAAATTAGTCCAACATATAGCAATAGCTCAGTATACACGATGTCATGTGCTATCTTACTATATAATATTATGCCAGCTTTCACTGACGTGTTAATATACTGAAATAAGGGAATAATGACAAATATAGTCAAATAAGCTTAATGATCAGTACAATTGAAATAGAGCGCATACAAACTCAACACATGTCAGAATCAAATTTTGAGATGTATTTGTGTGCATTGTTTCACACGTGTATTTGACAGACAAGGCTGGGAACCCATGCTAGCATATCATTTTACTGTGTCTAAAACTAAGTGTTCCCTCATTAATTTCCACCATGTACATCACTAATCCGCCTCTACTCGACCAAGACATGTTTGTGTTACCTAAAGTTAAAACAGCTACCCTAAAAGTGTTCACTGTTCACTTCAGACTTCCATCAGTGTAACCCCAACAACATCAGCATCTGCCTCTCCCCTCCTCAAAACAGCATATACTCCGTCACCGACGTCTACGTCACAGGCTACAGAAACACCGCCGACTGTAACCTCACGCTCGCCCCCACCCCACCTGATCCTAGCGACGGCATCGTGGACTGGTGTGAGGGGTATGCCGGAGTGTTCGACTACAACACCACCTGTGGAGAGGTCGATTCCATTACAGAGGTGACTGTTGTCTATTTGATAAACGAACATACCTGCCCAACAGTGTCTTTGTGAAAGCTCTATGAAATACATTCTCCATTGATTTCCAGGCATGAGTAAGGATATGCCACCTGACCTCCACTAGATGCGTAACCTTTATTTGTCGGGTGCTTGTCTTTTATATGTCTAGGGGTTATTGCAGGGCGGGTTATCCATCAGCGTGCTGAGGATGAACATCACCGTCGAACGAATGTGGGTTGGTTCGTTCTCGGAGGAAGTTACCTTCAGGTGCCCAAAAAACTATGGTAAGACGGAACAAGCGTCTTCATATTCACTTCTTCTTTTTATTTCCCAATATGATGTGTTCAATTGTTTATAGCTACTATGTTCTCCACAATATACATGGTAATGGCGTATGGCGGTATAATAATGCATAGTTTCATGTATATTTAAAATGAATGTATCAGTTCATAGCATTGTCAGTTTAACTATACAAACAGACAAGGTAACATCTATTTTGTCATTCACATAAACATACAGTTGAATGCGTTACAGACAAACAAAAGGGAAAAAAGGATCTACCAGTTTATTTCAGTGTACATGTGATTGTGTAAGTGTGAGATGGGTTGTGTTAGGTTTGTATATCCTTGACATGTAAAGATGTTCCTTTGATTGTGGAATGGGTTATCATATGTCCATATGTCCCTGATGTAATTGATTGTGTATGTGTGAGATGGTGAGATGCAGTGGCTGAATGTCCTTAACACGTGAAGCTCTATCTCTCAACCTTTGCATTTTCTCGTAAGCTTACCTATGTATTCCATTCGCTTGTTTTGTTCCATTGAAAAGATGTTGCATGATAATGACTACCTCTCTTAGCAGTGACTAGCACATGTAATCTTGCCAGCTATTACTAACCTGATAATATTACAGTTAACTGCGTTTATAACGAACGCGCCCATAACGACTTGGCGGATATAACGAACTTACTACTTATTTTCTGTATTCATGGTTATAACGAATTACTGTTTTAAGAAACTAAAATAAGTGTTCCCTTTGAGTTCGGTATAGCTGTAGTTTATACATTCCCTCAACACAGCCAGACATCTCCATGAGAAGTGAGTATTGTATTTGCTTCTTCACCCTTAACATGGAAACTGTAAATGTATGTAAATATCTATGAGTTATAATTACATAAAAAGTATTTGCGAAAAAATCAAGACAGAGAGTCATTTATGCAAACGGCAGTAGAAATAAAACACTTTGATGAGACGGTTCACATTTACATCAGGACTTCAGGAGTACAGCAAGGCAAAAAGCTCTTGTGAATGTGACATGGTTCCATTACCTGCTGTTATATGCATTGCACAACAGCTCAGACTACTACACATTCACCACCAATTAATTCCAACAGTTGTGTTATAAAATTTAATTGCCGGTGTTTCAGAACCATGCTGATAAGGCAACGTATGTAAACTTTTTCTAATGAAATTATTGATTAATCAAAATAAAAGTGTTTTTGTGTATACATTGAAGAACCAGTTCATTATTGTTCACGTCCAGATTGTCATACGTTTGTTAATAGTACATAACTATCGTCTAATAAGCCCTTTGCATCCAGTTTGGTTTGTGTACATTTTTTTTACTCTGAGGACGTGCGAGTATAAAACGAGTGTTTACCAAGTTTATGCAATAGACAAATTTATTTTTGTATGAGTATTTTGAGAAGGTATGGTATTTTGTAAAGATCAAACTCACACCTTAAATGTCTTTAACATACTCTTACAGAGGCAATGTCATTCCACAAATGTCGATATCATTACACCTGTCAGGTTCCCCTTTATATCTTTTGAAGAAGAAATCTCGCTGTGCAGAGTTGCGTCCCTTAGGTTTGTCTCTCTGATTATGATTATCGGGTTGTCAGCACCATACTCATGCTTGTGGGTAATCATCGATGTGGTTAATGTTACAAAACATGCATCACATCGAGCTTCTCTCCAACATTCAGCTGACGCGTCCTGATAACTGCAGTAATGTCCACAGCGGCCTGAAACCCCGCTCACCCCTTCTCACTCAGGTATTGTCTTGTCCCTTCGTTGATGCTTATACAGGAATGGAGGCGGAGGATGAGCCATGCTGTCAGCCAGATCCAGGGATGGAGAATGCAGTAAACACAAGCTAACGGGATCTCCCTGGAATGCCTGCGTCCTTTACTTTAGGAGGACAAGCCAATGAAGCGGGTTGATTGGTAAAACAATAGAGGTTTACAGGAATCGTCTCACAGGAAACTGAGCTAAGTTAACGATGGTGAACTAAAGTCAACCAAGTTTTGAAGGAACTGACAAGAGAATGAACTTCAGTTTCATATTGATGATATTTATTCAATTTCATCAGTGATATTCACTCATTTTGTTGTATATACACTTGGCGTTTGGAATAATGTTCAGGTTAACGTACGGTTTCTTTTCGAACATACGCGGTGAGCATCGGTGACGCAACCGTCAACACAAAAGATGACCATGTCATTAAACATGGTCAACAATCCTAGAGTAAACCTTTTCGAAAAACGTGCTTCTGTTCTCCATCTGCTGAGACAGTGTGATGACACTTCATGACCCAGATACATTTTGAACATATGTAACTATGAATAATTAATGAAAAAGACAAGGTCGATCCTTGTTAAATTCTTATTTGAGTTATCGCGTCGGGACCATCGTTTGACACGATCCTTATTAAACATATATCCTTGTAACATTAAAAGCATGGCTTAGCCCATGACACATGTGCCATTGTGTGGTCGGCATCTTCAGTTGGGAGACACAATAAGGTCTGCCGACAGAGCCGTCACACGCACAAACATAATTCCAAAAACTTTTCAGCCATCTAGGTTGTTGTCAAGGAAACGTTACCAACGTCAACTTTCCAAAGCAACATCACGGTGTGGAATCGTTTGCCGGCAGATTTGAATTAAACCATCCGTATCAAGAAATGTTTGATAGGCATTACTTAGAAGTTGACGGACGACAAAGTAGGGACAATTACTGTAAAGGTATAAAGATCCATATACCGTTGTCGAGCAAGGCTGAGGGCTGAACAATGTTCATTATTCAGCCTTGCTTGACAACGGTATAAGGATCTATACCAAAACGTCGCCTTTACAGTTAATAAAGAAGTTGTCATCATAAACTGTCCCTACTTTCATCCATATCACAGTCAAATGTTTTCATGAGGTGAAATTTGGAGTGACACACGGGCCAAACAATTTATGTTGCAGATAGAAGATGACAGACATTGCCTCGGGTGTCATGGACTTCTCCTACCCGTACGTGCTACACAGCAGGGGTAAACAAGCTATCATTCGACAACAAAGGCATAAGCTTTACGTGTACTTTCTTTTAAACCTACATCTCCATATTCAAAACTGAACAGGTTTTATCACCATTTACCCCTGTAAGTTTAACATCATGGGTCATGCTGGGTATGTCCACAGTTGATGCTGTTTAGTGAAGCTGAAGGACTGAAAAGCAGGCTTTGTGTGTAATACTACGTTATTGTATTGCCGTTATAAGGATAACTTAACTTGGACAATGTTGCTAATATACATTTTGACTTGAACCATGGTACCAGATTCTGTCAGATAATCCATTCTCGCCTCAGACTCGGTTGTAGCGATTTAAACTCCCATCGGCTTGAAAGACACATCTCAGACAATGCATCATGCTCTTGTGGCTATCTCCTTGAAGATATACCATACTTAAGGAAACGATTCGTTTTTCTTCTTAAAAGGTTACAGTTTCAGTGCTATATGGGAATGGAAATGAAACAAAATCTGTCAATTCAGATGTTTTGAATTCCGTCCATATGTACATCCTGTGCTCTGGTAGATTTGCACTCATGTAATAACTTAAGACTTAATTCATATTTTGATATAGGTATTAAGTATTAAATAGTTAAAGACTTGCGTCTCTTCGTAACTGAACACCTTTCCATCAACGGCATACATGTATTAATCTTAATTTAAAAAATATGATATAAATGAGTCCTAAACGGAGCATTTTTTACACAGAATGGTATCAAGTCCTAATTAGTCACAGTAGGTTATGAGAACATTGACTTGTTTCACTGGCTTCACACTTAACAATGGCGGATTCAGTAACATCCTGTGATGTTGTAGCAGTGCTAAGAAACGTTATCACCTATACCTCTCCTAATGAAACATGTATCTGTGTTCAGTGTTCGCGCGAATAGTATTAATCATTTGTTATAATAACATGTATAACAATTGCAGCGTCCTGTCAAAACGTGGACCAAACGGACCTACTAATATCATGCAAGAACATTTGCTGGATAACGACCGCTACAACGGCTGGATAACGACCACTACAACGGCTGGATGACGACCGCTACAACGGCTGGATGACGACCGCTACAACGGCTGGATGACGACAGCTACAAAGGCTGGATGCCGACCGCTACAACGGCTGGATGCCGACCGCTACAGCGGCTGGATGACGACCGCTACAACGGCTGGATGACGACCGCTACAACGGTTTGCTGACGACCGCTACAGCGGTTGGATGGCGATGGCTACAACGGCTGGATGACGACAGCTACAACGGCTGGATGACGACCGCTACAACGGCTGGCTGACGATCGCTACAACGGCTGGATGGCGATGGCTACAACGGCTGGATGACGACCGCTACAACGGCTGGATGACGACCGCTACAACGACTGGATGATGACCGCTACAACTGCTTAGTTGACGACCGATACACCGGCTGGATGACGACCGCTACAACGGCTGGGTGACAACCGCTTCAACGGCTGGATGACGACCGCTACAACGACTGGATGACAACCGCTTCAACGGCTGGATGACGACCGCTACAACGACTGGATGACGACCGCTACAACGGCTGGATGACGACCGATACACCGTCTGGATGATGACCGCTACAACGGCTGGATGACGACCCCTACAACGGCTGGATGACGACCGCTACAACGGCTGGATGACGACCGCTACAACGGCTGGCTGACGACCGCTTCAACGGCTGGATGACGATGGCTACAACGGCTGGATGACGACCGCTTCAACGACTTGATGATGACTTTGCATTTCGTTATCATCATCCGACCTCTACAATGCCAGTTTGTTGTCGGGTGTCACGAGATCAGCAGAGACAGTTCAACGTTACTCGGTGGTGTCACATATGAATCATCCACCCACCACATGTCAAATCCAAGCAGAGTGCAGTGTATGTCCATCAATAAATGCACAGCCTAGTATAACTATCTCGCATTCTTGTCTGTGTTTAGGTTTCCTAACATTTCTGCTGATTCTTTTCGCTGATAGACAAACGTAGTGTACTGCCGGGATTTAAACTGCCGCTCTGATGCCAGAGAAACTAAACCTTTCTAACCTCTTTCCAAAATTATAAATACAGTGTACTTTCAAAGGAGGCTGTGTCAACACCGTCACTACAATGCCATACGGTGCTGTATCAACAGCGTGACTACAATGTACTCCTATAGGATGCTATGTCTACACCGTGACTTCAATGTACTCCTACAGGGTGTTGTGTCAACACCATCACTACAATGTACTCCTATAGTGTGCTGTGTCTACACCGTCACTACAATGTACTCCTATGAGGTGCTATGTCTACACCGTGACTTCAATGTACTCCTACAGGGTGTTGTGTCTACACCGTCACTACAATGTATTCCTTTAGGATGCTGTGTCAACACCGTCACTACAATGTATATGTGCTCCTATAGGGTGCTGTGTCTACACCGTCACTACAATGTCATAGGGTGTTATATCAACAGCGTGACTACAATATACTCCTATAGGGTGCTGTGTCAACACCGTCAGTACAATGTACTCCTATAGGGTGCTGTGTCAACACCGTCAGTACAATGTACTCCTACAGGGTGTTGTGTCTACACCGTCACTAAAATGTACTCCTACAGGGTACTGTGTCTACACCGTCAGTACAATGTACTCCTATAGGGTGCTGTGTCTACACCGTCAGTACAATGTACTCCTGTTGGGAACTGTGTCTACACCGTCACTACAATGTCATAGGGTGTTATATCAACAGCGTGACTAAGATATACTCCTAAAGGGTGCTGTGTCAACACCGTCAGTACAATATACTCCTGTTGGGTACTGTGTCTACACCGTCACTACAATGTACTCCTATAGGGTGTTGTGTCTACACCGTCACTAAAATGTACTCCTGTTGGGTACTGTGTCTACACCGTCAGTACAATGTACTCCTATAGGGTGTTGTGTCTACACCATCACTAAAATATACTCCTGTTGGGTACTGTGTCTACACCGTCAGTACAATGTTCTCCTACAGGGTACTGTGTCTACACCGTCAGTACAATGTACTCCTACAGGGTACTGTGTCTACACCGTCAGTACAATGTACTCCTGTTGGGTACTGTGTCTACACCGTCAGTACAATGTACTCATACAGGGTACTGTGTCTACACCGTCAGTACAATGTACTCCTGTTGGGTACTGTGTCTACACCGTCACTACAATGTACTCATACAGGGTACTGTGTCTACACCGTCAGTACAATGTACTCCTACAGGGTGCTGTATCTACACCGTCACTACAATGTACTCCTATAGGGTGCTGTGTCAACACCGTCAGTACAATGTACGCCTACAGGGTGTTGTGTCTACACCGTCAGTACAATGTACTCATACAGGGTACTGTGTCTACACCGTCAGTACAATGTACTCCTACAGGGTGTTGTGTCTACACCGTCAGTACAATGTACTCATACAGGGTACTGTGTCTACACCGTCAGTACAATGTACTCCTACAGGGTACTGTGTCTACACCGTCAGTACAATGTACTCATACAGGGTACTGTGTCTACACCGTCAGTACAATGTACTGCTACAGGGTACTGTGTCTACACCGTCAGTACAATGTACTCCTACAGGGTGCTGTGTCTACACCGTCAGTACAATGTACTCACACAGGGTACTGTGTCTACACCGTCAGTACAATGTACTCCTGTTGGGTACTGTGTCAACACCGTCAGTACAATGTACTCATACAGGGTACTGTGTCTACACCGTCAGTACAATGTACTGCTACAGGGTACTGTGTCTACACCGTCAGTACAATGTACTCCTACAGGGTACTGTGTCTACACCGTCAGTACAATGTACTGCTACAGGGTACTGTGTCTACACCGTCATTACAATGTACTCCTACAGGGTACTGTGCCTACACCGTCAGTACAATGTACTCCTACAGGGTACTGTGTCTACACCGTCAGTACAATGTACTGCTACAGGGTACTGTGTCTACACCGTCAGTACAATGTACTCCTACAGGGTACTGTGTCTACACCGTCAGTACAATGTACTCCTACAGGGTGTTGTGTCTACACCGTCACTAAAATGTACTCCTACAGGGTACTGTGTCTACACCGTCACTAAAATGTACTCCTACAGGGTACTGTGTCTACACCGTCAGTACAATGTACTGCTACAGGGTACTGTGTCTACACCGTCAGTACAATGTACTCCTATAGGGTGCTGTGTCTACACCGTCAGTACAACGTTCTCCTATAGGGTGATGTGTCTACACCGTCAGTACAATGTACTCCTGTTGGGTGTTGTATCAACACCGTCACTACAATGTACTCCTACAGGGTGCTGTGTCTACACCGTCACTAAAATGTACTCCTACAGGGTACTGTGTCTACACCGTCACTAAAATGTACTCCTACAGGGTACTGTGTCTACACCGTCAGTACAATGTACTGCTACAGGGTACTGTGTCTACACCGTCAGTACAATGTACTCCTATAGGGTGCTGTGTCTACACCGTCAGTACAATGTACTCCTATAGTGTGCTGTGTCTACACCGTCAGTACAATGTACTTCTATAGGGTGATGTGTCTACACCGTCAGTACAATGTACTCCTGTTGGGTGTTGTATCAACACCGTCACTACAATGTACTCGTATAGGGTGTTGTATCAACACCGTCACTACAATGTACTCCTACAGGGTGTTGTGTCTACACCGTCACTAAAATGTACTCCTACAGGGTACTTTGTCTACACCGTCACTAAAATGTACTCCTACAGGGTACTGTGTCTACACCGTCACAACAAAGTAGTCCTATAGAGTCCTATGTCTACACGGACAGTAGAATGGCAAATTCAGCGTCAAATCGGAAGCAAATCATTCATGTATTTTTCAAAGATGGTTTTACTGACACTGCAACGAGCTTTTCCTTAACTCATTCTGTATCTAGTTGCCATGGTGACTCTCCTGCTGGAGCTCCTGAAATACAGATGTACGTTTAAGGGGTGGGCATATACAAGAAGAGAATGTGAGAGGCAACCTCATGGAGATGTACAATAGCACGCCGAGGCAGGTCATGAACATATTGCTGCGCCATCTTGAGTCAGGACTGCCGCGTAGTATCAGCAGACTGGTCTCCCCCACCACTCAACTCCTCAAGTCTACAAACCACTCTACCCAAACACTCTAACCCCCACAAGTCTATCCCAACCAGTCTACTCCACAAGTCTACACAACCGCTCTATCCCCACCTGTCTAACCTCCGGTCTAACCCACTGGTCTCACCAACTGGTCTAGCCCTTATGGTCTACCCCAACCAGTCTACACAACCGCTCTACTGCATCGGTCTACCCCTGCCGGTCTTTCCCTACTTGTCAACTTCAGCAGTCCACACAAACACTATACCCCCACCACTCTATCCCTACCAGTCTCCTCCACCAGTCTACACAACTGGTCTATTACACCAGTCTACCAACACGGTCTATCCCCACTTGTCAACTCCACCGGTCTACCCCAACTGTCTACCCCAACGGTCTACCCTACTCGTCTACCTCACCACTGTACATTCACTGGTCTAGTCCTACCACTCTACCCACACCAGTCTACCCCACCAGTCTACCCCACCAGTCTACCCTACCACTCTACCCCACCGGTCTTCACTCACTGGTCTACCCCACCAGTCTACCCCACCAGTCTACCCCACCAGTCTACCCCACCAGTCTAACCCACCAGTCTACCCCACCAGTCTACCCTACCACTCTACCCCACCGGTCTACCCTACCACTCTACCCACACCAGTCTACCCCACCAGTCTACCCTACCACTCTACCCCACCAGTCTACCCTACCACTCTACCCACACCAGTCTACCCCACCAGTCTACCCCACCAGTCTACCCTACCACTCTACCCCACCGGTCTTCACTCACTGGTCTACCCCACCAGTCTACCCCACCAGTCTACCCCACCAGTCTACCCCACCAGTCTACCCCACAAGTCTACCCTACCACTCTACCCCACCGGTCTTCACTCACTGGTCTACCCCACCAGTCTACCCCACCAGTCTACCCCACCAGTCTACCCTACCACTCTACCCCACCGGTCTTCACTCACTGGTCTACCCCACCAGTCTACCCCACCAGTCTACCCCACCAGTCTACCCCACCAGTCTACCCCACCAGTCTACCCCACAAGTCTACCCTACCACTCTACCCCACCGGTCTTCACTCACTGGTCTACCCCACCAGTCTACCCCACCAGTCTACCCCACCAGTCTACCCCACCAGTCTACCCTACCACTCTACCCCACCGGTCTTCACTCACTGGTCTACCCCACCAGTCTACCCCACCAGTCTACCCCACCAGTCTACCCCACTGGTCTTCACTCACTGGTCTACCCCACCAGTCCACCCCACCACTCTACCCCACCAGTCTAACCCACCGGTCTATCTACTCCACCACTGTACCCCCCCCCCCCCCCCCCCCCCCCCCCCGGTCTATCCATATCAGTCAACTTCACCTATTTATCCCTACCAGTCTACACAATCAGGCTATCCCAACCATTCTGGACCATAGTTTATGGAAACCTGTCTACACCTCCTGGTATACCAACAACAGTCTACTCCCACCAGTCTACACTCACCAGTCTACTCCCACCAGGCTACACTCACCACTCTGCTCCACAAGTCCACCCCCACATGTCTATCCCTACCAGTGTACTCCAGCCAGCCTACACCTACCACACTATCCTACCAACACCAGTCAAACCCAAACGATTCTCCACTGACCCGTCTACCCCTGCCAATTTACACACCCCTTATACAGACAATTTTACCAGTTTACCTTTACTACAAGACCCCCCTCACATACACACACAACGCTACCACACCGCTACCACACCAGTCTACAACCACTAAAATATTTTCCACTGCATCAACATCTTATCATATGTTTAGCTGCATTTTCCGACATTACTGGTCTTTATGGTCCAGACTGGTCGTTACATAAAAAACTCTAGTAGCACTAAACCGGAACTACAGGAACATACTCACAGCATTCAGGTATTTCAAGAGGAGGCTAGCCTCATGCTCGGGCAAATCTTTAAAAGAATAATGTTTCAATAAATAATAATTGTGGTCAAGATGACACCTTAGAAAAATGCATTTGGGTAAACAAGTATACGTCCACGTAGGTCTCGTTGGAATCAGAACCATCATCCCGAGGCAAGGGCGTTAACTGACTATTAAAGTCAAGTTTTCCACCTTGCCGAACTAGGCTGGACGTCCAGAGTTACATTTTGGCTGGATTAACGAGTTAATGCATGTTCAATCAAACTCGCAAAACGAACTATTTTCAAAGGGCAGATTTTGTTCGACTGCAGGATTCGCAAAGCACGTATATCGTCAACTGGGCGTCGACGTATATTTTCCAAATATTTTCATGTTTTTAATCAAGGTGCTCAAGTGATATGATGCACTTTGCGGGGTAAGACCCGTTTTATTTCAATGCAGATCTTGATTATCGATCAGATCATCTTGACTGGGCGCCGCCATTTGGTTTGAAGCAAATTTAAATGATATGAGTGATGGAATCTGATTGGTCAATTGGAGGGACAAAGAAGAGACATATCTCGTAATGGACACTAGTGGCGCTACGATCGAGCAAAAAAAAATCCTGCCTAGTTGGGCAAGGGTGGAAACTAGACTCATTTATATGAGCTTTAATGCATAAGGTGGTGAGGGACAGGGGTAACCAAATTGGTAAACGTTTTAGATCTAAGGTTTTGCCCCCACATTATGCTGCCACGCCTTGACATAACTCATATACTGTTTGGAGGAGCGTTATACCTCTTTCAACCACTCACTTTACATACGGGCCATCATGGCGATGAGGCGGTCCATGCCGATGTGGTTGACGTACGCGTGCAGCTGGTCAGCCTCCGCCTCGGCCATCAGCTCCACCAGGAGTACCTGCTCGGAAGGGGGGAGTTGGTGGAAGGCAGGGGACTTGTGGATCATCTTCAACGTGGCCAGCAGGTCGGCGGAGATGCAGACGAGGAGCACCAGGAGGCAGAAACAGGTCAGCAGGGCTCGCATTGTGGCTGACAGGGCACCACGTGATGTTAGGAACATGTGAACAAGGTTATGCAGGAGAACATGTGATGTTAGTAACGTGTGACCAAGGCTATGCAGGCGAACACGTGATGTTAGGAACGTGTGAACAAGGCTATGCAGGCGAACACGTGATGTTAGTAACGTGTGAACAAGGCAATGGAGGAGAACAAGTGATGTAAGGAACGTGTGAACAAGGCTATGCAGGGGAAAAAGTGATGCTAGGAGCGTGTGAACAAGGCAATGGAGGAGAACAAGTGATGTTAGGAACGTGTGAACAAGGCTATGCAGGGGAGCACATGATGTTAGACACATGTGAACATGGCTATGCAGGAGAACACGTGATGTTAGACACACGTGAACAAGGCTATGCAGGGGAACACGTGACGTTAGACACATGTGAACAAGGCTATGCAGGGGAACACGTGATAATGGCATCGTGTGAACAAGACTGTGTAATTATAAGTGTAGCACCAAAGCTTCCGTCCCACGTAAATCAACGCTGTAAATAGTGTCAATATTATGTAATGGTCCGTTGAATGATTTTGTTGACAATTTTGATCATAATGTTATATTTAAACACCAGGGTGAAATTATACTTGAACTCGTTGAAAACAGAACGAGATAGTCATTCCAAGTAGACCAAAGGTCTTATAATTTTGGATTGAGGGCTATTCCTACAACGAGCATTTGTGGGGTTGAATGTAAATTGGTGTTCGTATGTAAACAAGAGTTAGATACGATAAGCATACAAGACGAACATGTCAGTTCCTGAACTGTGTTTGTCACACATCCTTTAAAGAGCAGGTGACTATTTTGATGTACATTGTAAACGTAACAATTATGGAAAATTGTACAACAGAGTTTCTACAATATAAACGTTTATACGACAGGTGAACGTCCATCGCTAAAATAACAGAACTTGAAGCTATTGTTCTTTATTAAAACGGGTTGTTTCAGAAATATTCAGAGTTAAAGGAGTTGTATATTACCACACACAGAGCCTTATATTACTTCTTTCATTTTCGCAGGAATAAATCAAGTATGTTGTATGATCTAACTCACAAGTTGTTGGGAGAGGCTCACTGTCCGAAATCTTTGCTATACCCAGCAGTCTTACTTGAAGTTGTATCACGTGATTGTGTTAATCTTATCACATTTATCAAAAAGAAAAACGAATCTAGGTTCCAGGAGTTTAAAGATTATCGTCTTATTTGTATATCTTATATTCAGTCCCTGTAACCAATTGTACCGGACCGTCTAATGTCAAAGGAGGATTTCATAGTCACATGTTGGGGGTGGGGGTAGGGGTAGGGGTGGGAGCATTATTGACGACAAACGTAGCCTTATAGCGTCAAAGCCTTAAAACCCCAGGTAAATTGTCGCTCTCTCTTTGTGAAGGTCTGACTATCAAGAGTGAAGACAACGACCCACTCACCCTTTACCTGCAGGCATGTCGGGGATGGTATGGGTTACACACAACCAAAATAACGTTCCATAGTAACGTTATATATTTATAAGAAAATAACTAAGCTTGCAACAACTGTTACATGTACATGTGTGCACAGCCTGGCCTTCAAGCAGCAAAAGAAAAAAAAGACTAACTGAGCCAGCTCCTTTTCCGAGTACAGGATGCTAAACACACCATCCCCAGCTCCGCACCAAATGGCCCCTGCTTTAACATAGCTGTGGTCACATTCAACATAAGTCAACATGTTAAAAACGACATAGCCAAATACAGAACAATATGGTCAATTATTGTAAGTACTGGGTGGATGTGCATATACAAATCCATTAAATTATACACAAAATCATCCGAGGCTGGGAGATTCACAGCTGCCGAATCAATCTGCACTGAAGGCAGATTACAGGTAGTAGAACCTGTATGGTTGTCACACAACGTTCTGACCTCCATCTCCCCCTGCTACTGATGCAGGTACGCGGGTCCACTAGAGTACAGGTAGAACTTGACAATGTGGCACCACCCCCTGCACAATCTCACTTTAGGGACCAATAGTATATCTCGTACTTTATTGTTCTCACTTTCCATATGGACCTACTCGTCATATGTAGGCCTCTGTAATATACACTGCTGGCAAAACAATCTATACAGCTGGATTTGACTAACATATGACAAACGTTATAAAAGCGTTACTGGGCTGAAGACATCCATTGGCGTATACCATCTTTTGCCCGACAATTAATTGTAAGAATAGCTGAAAGAATGGCATTGTATGTTTCTTTAAACCTTGATTTGTTTTATTTAATGACCTTGCAAAGCACTGACTTTTAAACATGCAATTGTTCATGACCTGGTAAACCTTTATCTATCAGCAAACGTATATCTGTAAGTGAGATTGGTCGAAAAGCAAGTAAATGCACAAAAATCAAATTGAAAACAACCAGTTTTTATAGATTCCCTGAAGCCTGAACATTGAATGACACGTATTTCAGTATTCCTATTACACCCCGTTTACATGTCTGAAGTTTCCTGTTTGAATGGCGGATCATATCACGGGCTTTTAACATATAGTATCTCACACGACTGTACGGAGTGGAGACATACATAGGTGACGGTATAGGTCAGCCAGAATAAAACTCCCAGCATGTAATCTGGATAAATAGGACCGATGACTAACATTTAGGGAAGAGACGGCATAGGTCAGCCAGAATAAATAGGATTAATGACTCAAATTTAGCCTATTTTAAACTCTCGCTTTAGACCATTAAACACAGCCAATGAACAACATGTCATAATCCTCGATTCATGATAGATAATGCAAGTGTATATCACTATTACTTACAAAGCAAGTAAAATAATAGGTTTTCTTTCAATTATGGCGGGCACCACGGTATTCTTATCATACTTAATGATATTGTACAGCACTTGACCAAATCAGAAAACCTAATCAAATTGTCCTTGTTACAAATTACATTTCTAAAAACAATACTTTGAACACATTCCGGAGTCAAAGATGTTTATTTACTGGAAGATTGAATACATATTCCAATAATGACGTAGTGATGACGTCCTAGTTGCCGGGGTGAGACTCGTGCTGCAGGGCCTGAAATAAACCACGTGTTTATTATAATTATACAATATTAAGTGCAAAAAATAATTAATAAACAAATTGGTACCAATATTGAATTGCATGTCAACTAGTTCGCCTTAAACAAGCATCAGGTCGGCCGTGCCAGGCTAGAGTAGGGTGTCTTTCATTGCGCCTGCTTTTTCGCGACATGTCCATTTTGAAGAATTTATCGATGAAGTATACTGTCTCTACACACCTCTCCGCCACCACTAGGATATTAAAAAGTAGGTCCTCAATACACCAGCATGGATGAGGCCAATAGTGATTGAGTGAGTTTGCTTTACCGCCGCCTGTAACAGTTTGTCAGTGACATGATGTGTTCTGGGCGTCAGATAAAGGCCCGATTTGATGCGGGCCTTAATCCTTTACCACGGATAGGGTGCAGATGAGTGTATGGTGATTTCAAATGTGGGATTCGAACCAAAAAGGACACAACTCTGCACAGAGAATGACAGCCCCTTTCCGTCTTGCCACCCGTGTCTCCCAGTTGCAAATATTTTGCTTCCAGAAAACCTTGTCTGAGTGCTCATTTGTCTATAATCCCCTGGAGCATTCAAAAGGGTACCACGAAAACGTCTGCGACTGCGTGTGCGTGTGTGTGTAAGTGTGTGTAAGTGTGCGTGTGTGTAAGTGTGCGTGTGTGTAAGTGTGTAAGTGTGCGTGTGTGTAAGTGTGCGTGCGTGCGTGCGTGCGTGCGTGCGTGCGTGCGTGCGTGTGTGTGTGTGTGTGTGTGTGTGTGTGTGTGTGTGTGTTCGTGTGTAAGTGAACGTGTGTGTATGCACGTGTGTTTGCGTGTAGGCCTGTGAGCGTGCGTGTATGTGAGTGTGTGTACGTGTGTGCGTGTACGTGTGTGTTATGTGCGTGTTTATATGTACGTGTTTGAACGTCTGCTCGTACGTGTATGTGCGTGAGTGTGTATGTGTGTATTATGTGTGTGTACGTGTGTATGTGCATGCACGTGTGTATGTGTATATGTGTACACGTGTGTATGTGTGAACATGTTTGTACGTGCATGTGTGTCTGTGTGTATGTGTGTACACGCGTGTATGTGTGTACGTGTGTGTGTGTACGCGTGTACGTGTACGTGTGTGTATGTGTACATCTGAACTACAGTCGTACCTTGTTCAAAGCATTGACAACCACGGCCTCTTCATGTTCTGGAAGATCTACAGGAATAAGAATACAAAGCGTTACTGGAGGTAGGTTTCCCCACCTAACTAAGACACTATTAAGCTCTGTGATTATGTCTGTTATGGTAAATATAGACATTGACATTAAATCATTAGAAACGCTTCTTTGCAGTCAGCTGTTCAGCCGATACAACGACGGCATCAGCCTCATAATGTCCCCACCCAATTGAAGCAAATATGATCACACATCTTGTTGTAAACACTCTCCTATCTACACCATCTGAGTTAATTGCTTTCTATATAAGTTATATTTCAATCGAGGTCTACAGGAGAGTGGGGAACTATTGTTCCTGTTTGAATAAGGCAGATTGATGCCGAAATGTCATTACTACTGACCGGAGGTTTCATCCTGTTTGAGTGAGACAGTCTGCTGCCGAGATGTTATTACTAGACAGGGGAGGTTTCATCCTGTTTGAGTGAGACAAACGTCTGCCGAATGACTATTACTGGAGAGGGGAGGTTTCATCCTGTTTGAGTGAGACAAACGTCTGCAGAATTACTTTTACTGGATAGGGGAGGTTTCATCCTGTTTGAGTGAGACAAACGTCTGCAGAATGACTATCACTGGATAGGGGAGGTTTCATCCTGTTTGAGTGAGACAAACGTCTGCAGAATGACTATTACTGGAGAGGGGAGGTTTCATCCTGTTTTAGTGAGACAAACGTCTGCAGAATGGCTATTACTAGATAGGGGAGGTTTCATCCTGTTTGAGTGAGACAAACGTCTGCAGAATGACTATTACTGGAGAGGGGAGGTTTCATCCTGTTTTGGTGAGACCGATTGCTGCGTAGATGTCATTACTAGAGAGGAGATGTTACATCCGGTTTGAGTGAGATCCTTCACGTTGTACTCACGGGAGAGAAGGAGAAATATTTTGTCAATTCCAACTTGAGCCACGTAAGCATGAAGTTGGCCTGCTGCAGCTTCACTCATCAGCTCCACCACCAGCAGCTGACCTTGCGGTGGCAGGTGCTTGAAGGCGTCTGAAGCGTGGATAGTGTTCAAGGTCGACAGAAGGTCAGCCGAGGTCAAGGCCACAAGGACCAAGAGAGAAACACAAAGCAATGAGGTTTTCATCCTGTGAGATATAAATAGACATGTATTAGGATTAAACATTGTATTTAGTAAGCCTTAGCTTGTGGTTATCATGGGAGTGTGTTTGGGGAGTTGAGACATTCTGTGTCAATGATAAACATTGTATTTAGCAAGTCATGATTTGCGGTTATCACGCATGATTTTAAATATTCTGTATTGGAACTAAACATTGCATCTAACAAGTATTGACGAGCTAACTAATACCATCCCCAAGCACACCAGCAAGATAACCCCTTTAAATTCTATCATCAACAATGTATTCTCATCTCATGATAGCTAAAGTTTGCAAGTTTTCCTTGTTAGTGCACATTAGTATATTACAACGTCTCAGCATCAGTGATTAGTCAATCAATATGGGTCCAACTGATCCTTGTCCTTTTCGAATGTGACGTAACTATCATATAGGCACTTGGCTAATTGCCTACATATCATTTTACAATGTCATAGGCAATTCATCGGTCCTAGATGTCCTACACAGCGACACAGTGAAACAAAGTACACTATTTCGGCCAAACCCAACTGTTCTTGAAAAAAGACCTAAGCTGCAGTGTTCTACAAGCACAGATGTAAAAGGAACTAAGCACGGATCCCCTTCACTAAAAGATATATATTTCCAAACTTGACTACACTCAGCTACGCCCTTCTAAGACCCTGGTTTTCGATGTGGTATACTTTAATTTTGATAATGATAACAATTATCCCAGTAGTTTGTCCGATCGGCAAGGACGACGCCATGTTTGAAAACACTGACAGCAGTACCTACCTAGCCTTTAAATTTAATATTTATCCGTAAATGACCCAAACGGATTTCGCTTTTATTCGAGGGGCTCTCATGGTCAACTGTCGAGAAACCTATCCATTATATGATAAACGATTATACATGGAAAAGATGGGTTGAATTAAACTTTCTGTAATTCATCTTTTGAAGTGACGTCATAACACCTCTCATGGCGTTTAGGGGTTGGTCAGAGGACTTTGAGGAAGATATTTCTTTCGTTTCTGTTGTGTTGCGGTTGAAAATTGTTTTACTTAACAATATTATGTTACTACAAGGCAACAAGACATGAACGTTAATTGCCGTTTTGCCACCAAAATGAGAAAATAATATTTCTTGATAATCTGACATTATCTTGACGGCGGAAATATTGTCACAATGTTGACCTATGTTGATATGTCCTTATGTCTCACCCACAGATGGAGCACAATAGACGATACTCTGTGTCAATTATTACCAATTTTACTTTTTAGTTTGCACTGGGACTTATTGGGGGTATATTTGGGACTTTTCACAGTTTTGAGAGCACTTGGAGGAAGGTAAGTAGTTACCTTTGAAGTAATACAATGTAGAAACATTTGCCCACTCAATACGTTTGCAAAACCTGATGTGAAACCGCGTTAACTTGGAATCCTACCGACAGTGAAACAAGTGTGGTCATCGGTAGTTCAGAAGTACTATAAAGGTTATACCTATCAAGCCTTGGGACTCTTAGAGATTCCACTGTGCCCTTAGAACAGCATCGTCTTAAACGCCTTGTTTACCAAGTAAGACATGCCAAAATGTACCGTTAATGAATGTTCCCAATTTCGGACTGATTCGAGTTGCAGCTTAGTAGGTGATCTCACCACACAAGATCAACTCTTTGCAATGAAGTCTCATATTACACAACGCAACAATAACAGATGTTCCGAATTCTTCAGACAAAGCATGCGTTATCGATTGTTTAAATTGTTCATGTCAATATGTTCTTGCGTTCCTGTGTGTACATAAACACGAATCAAGTCGTTATGTTAACCTGTTTGTTAACTCAGTTCTTGGAAGACATTCACCATCCATTTTCAGAACAGTTTAAAGTTGGATGTGGCAATATGGTGTTTGTTTGTTGTTTGTGAAAAACTATATGACGGCGGTCTGTCAATAATCGAGTCTGAAACAAACAATCCAGTCACTGACATCATGAATATCGATCCACGCAATTGAGATATGCAATGTAAGTCGGTAACAATTTATCATTATTACAAACGAGTGTAATCAGTTCAGTGAATGAAACAGCCTACCTAATAAATGAACAGGTCAGGAGAGACGTTTACTGGGACAAGCAGATTAAATAAACAGTCATGAGTATCACGTGGCCAAATGTTTCTGAGATACGGACCGTTCCTCTCCGGAATCGAGGTGTGTCACCCAGTCGTGTTCCACAAACAGGACCACGCGTAAATCTAGGTCTCCGTCTGGTCGTACTCTCACTGTCAGCTCCATCGGTTGGGTGAATGATTCCATCTGACAGATAGCTCCACTGGTAAGGTTTTCGCGAATTACCCCGTTACACTGACAGCTCCACTGGTTGGGTGTCCGTGAATGACCCCTCCTAACAGATAGGTCCACCAGAAATAACTCTGTTTAAATGACAGCTACTCTGGTTGGGTGTCCGTGAATGACTCTGTTAAATGATAGCTCCACTGGTTGGATGTCCGTGAATGACTCTGTTTAAATGACAGCTACTCTGGTTGGGTGTCCTTGAATGACTCCTCCTAACAGATAGCTCCACAAGTAATGACTCTGTTTAAATGACATCTACTCTGGTTGGGTGTCCGCGAATGACTCTGTTTAAATGACAGCTCCACTGGTTGGATGTCCGTGAATGACTCTGTTTAAATGATAGCTCCTCTGGTTGGGTGTCCTTGAATGACTCTGTTAAATGACAGCTACTCTGGTTGGGGGTCCGTGAATGACCCCTCCTAACAGATAGCTCCTCTGGTAGGGTGTCCGTGAATGACCCCTCCTAACAGATAGCTCCACTAGTAAGGTTTTCGTGAATTACCCCGTTACACTGACAGATACACCGGTTGGGTGTTCGTGAAGGATCCCGTTTAACTGGCCCAGGTAAACTGACACATCCACTTAATTGGGGTCCCTGAATATCCCAGGCTAACTGACAATCGCAGTGGTTGTATTGATAGTTCCTGTTAGACCTGAGTTGATGTACATTTGAACTGTTTTGGTGTCCCTGAACAACCAAGGTTAACTGACAGCTACACTACAAGTTGGTATTACATAAAAGTTGTAATATCTAGATAAATTCATTGGTTCCAAAAGAACAATACTATACATTGCATTAGTGATCTGTGAACAAACCATCTCGGTGGAAAGATGTGTAACTGATGTATGTGATCAAAACAGGGAGAAACATCATCACCAATGTAAGACATCATCCCCAATGTAAGAATGTATACATCCCACTAATAGGGAGTAGGATTCGGCGACATGTTGCAAATAGTGTTTAAGCTACGCCAACGCAATTTGAATCTTGAATCTGATAATGACAGAAGGGAAATAGGCCTCCAGGAATCCTACTGGAAACGTATTTCCAAAAGATCTCTTATAACGGTGAACACAATTTCTTTCTGCACTTGAGTGAAGACAACTGAGAATTTCAGCCCAAGTTCATTACACAAGAAGTTGCATGATCGCCATGGTCCAAAACGACATACGTTACACAACAGGGTTAACAAAGACAATGTTGTGGCTCTTGCGCTAGGCAGCAGTAACCCCAGGTCCATCACTGATATGCATCTCTGAGAGAGTGTACCTGGGAGCTCCCCTGACTCACGTGTGTCTGCACAAGCCAGCTCGCTACACAACAACATAGATCCCCAGTAGTCCACTGTGAAGGATCATGGCAGGTTAATGTTATAGTTGGGAACAAGTTACAAACACAGTCTTTGTACAGTCACACCTGTGACACTTGTGATTGTTTCACAAAATAGAAATATATATAATCTGACACTTGGATTGGAGTCTGCCTCCCAATTCATTTGAGGATTCAGCCTTTGTTGACAATGTTTTGTATGCACAGGAGAATCTGAAATCCAGCCAAGGCACTGATCACTGCTTAAATGCTGAGCTGACTGTAACATATAACACTGAACGTAGAAGTTACACGTGTACTCTTAGGTCCAAATCTTCAAATGATTACAGCCACCAATGTCAACACTGACTGGATCAGAACAGTTACGTGATCCTGAAATGTTGATCTGTCTCTAACCTGAATTAAACTGAATTCAAAAGTTCCTTTTCAAACATATGTGCTCTGTAGGCCTAAGTCTTCCAATTATTTCAGACACTAATCAACACTGACTCGGTGGGAACAGTTGAGGGATGCTTCTGTCAGTCTGTCGATGTCTGTAAGTTTCGTTATTTGCAATTTTGTATGCATCTTCTTTCTTGGGCAAGTTCGTCAAAGGCAAGAAATCCAGTCAGTCACCCCCCCTGCCCCAATACAAGTATTATCCGGGTATGATTATAACAAATGTATATTTACAATGAACAGAAATATCAAATTTCCAAATATTGGTAGAAAGAGGCAACACCTCTTTGTGAATTGTCAGTACACCACGTTCATTACAGTTATATCAAGTATGTCAACTGAATGTAAAGTATTGCTCTAAAGTTACAAATAACAATACTGTATATCGTGATAATCTTCCCGAGGCAAGGGAGTTAACTGACTGTAAAAGTCCAGTTTCCACTTTTATAGTCGGTTAGCTCCCTTGCCTCGGGAAAATGTATCCTGACAGACAATTTGAATGCGACTAACCGATGCTACGTTTGCCGTCTGTCATCACATCTTCACGGCCCATCACCTTGAGATAGTAAAAGAGCTGGCCTACAGTCGGGGACAAGTCTGGTCTCCTCGTCCAATCGTTCAGCACCTCCGTCGTAGGGTCTCTCTGTCGGCCAAAGTTCTGGATCTCCAGGACGGAGAAGCCAATTTGCTCGGCCAGTCCATTATAGTCTGGTACAATGCCATCTTCATTCAGCAGCTTCTCGATGTTGAGGTACTGAGACAGCTTCTTTCGAGCTGACACTCTGAGCGCATCCAGCGACACGTTTCTGCAGCACGAGAGAACAAGGAGTGAGGGAGGGAGGGAGGGGACTATTTTAGTTGTGGAATTGTAGGTGTGAAATACTAGTATTCGAGGAATATTACGATGGAGGGCTTCTCAATCCAATGGATGTGGACAAACTTTCATAATTGTAACTGCTTACTATCTTGCTCCTGATAGAATGACATCCAGAGAGTTCGTAGATGGTTCAGAGAATTCTTCTTGTTGGAGCACTACATATCACTCAAAGTTTATTGTGGCACACTTGAAAATACATTTTATCCCTGTTTAGCTATCATCAGAATCCATATTTCAATTAACATCAACTGTCTCGCTTGAATAACTGTTCGCAGGTTGAACGTGCCAGGCTAATTTACAGCACATGTCAAAATGAACATTTCTATTTTTCTGTTATCAAACCTATCACATGATAGTAACGTGAGTGCCCCTTTACTCTCATATGAACAAATTACGCTACACTTGTAGGGTCTCATTTCAAACATGAAATAACCCAAAACGATTTTCTTAAATAACAAAAATGATTTCATTTATCATATATTCGGTGTGCCGATTGCTGGGTACACGTTAATAAAGCTATCTCACCCTGTGTTGTGTGGCTTTTACAGTAGAAGTTCATGGAATCACCACCAAACACTATTTTAGACAGTCGACATTGACAAGGAAAACCATGACATTCTTTTCTCTTCATGCGGCCTAACTCTCACAAAATGCTGTGATGTTGAAACTGTACGATTCCGACTAAATAATAAGCATAAGAATGTGTCTGTGGTTCTCTATCAAACAGTGAGGACACCAGGTGTTAGCAAAAAGGTGAGCGTATCCTGCTCCAGCGTAACCCAGGCACACTCACTACAACCAACACAAGTATTGACTCTATAAAGTTATATCCGATATTCTTCTCCGAAATCAACTCATTGACTAAATTAATTAAAGTGATTTCAACAGGAACTCAGCGCGGTCCCAGCAAGGTGTTTTCGTGTTGGTGGTATTGATATCAACGTCGGACAAGAACCGCTTGAATGTAACTCTTCATTTATTATATACAACGATGATAATGTCTCTCGTTTGAGTAGTAAGATAAGTACTTAGGGAGGCAGACAGATAGACATGAGTAGCACACTAGACGTAATAAAGAGCTTCCATATGACCTCCAAGAGCAACTGCAGTCTGTACAATATACGCCTGTGATTGCCATGGCAACACAACACCAACAATAGCCATTGTGGGTTGGTTCAAGATTCCGCTTTGGATGTTTTACAGCAAATGACGATTTGAAATTTGGGATTTTATATATTCCACTTCCGTATTGAACCTAAAAGTTCTAAATGGTCGTTGTCGAACGGATGTAATTTGTCTGATATCCCTAAACCCTAATTATATCCCTTCCGCCGAGTCCTTAAGTCTAGATTTTCAATAGATTCGGAATCTCCAATCTCACGGGGGTGCCTTTTCAATTTATATGTAGTTGCTTATTTCTATCACAATAATATAGTTTCAGTGACTAAGCGTTAGTCTAGAACGGATGCATGATTTGATGACTTTACATTTCTTGCATCAACAGCAACAAGTGGTGTTGATTATTTCATCGTGTCAGGTGATTTGTTTACATCGGATCTCGGAGTGTCTCGCCATACTTCCCCATCAGCTATTCATTTCAATCCCGTGACTCTGATATCGGATCAGGCCCTCCGCGAGATGCACGCCACCATCGGTACTGTTTTAAGTTTCTTTGGGATATTAACTTTGCGGAACTTTTAAGAGAAAACATTCTGTCAACAGATGTATCATCTATATTTGAGTGGGTTTTTTTCTGCTGCGGTCTCATATTAACGGATATTAACAAGTCATGTTTCAAAGTGTTATTCAACAAAATCTATCTAAATTTATAAATGGTATATTCTAAAGTATAGGGAGTTTAACCAAACATGATAAAGGCACCCGAATCTATTTATAGTTGTGTGAATGGATGGGTTAAGGCTAATGACAATGTTTGGAACATTTCAATTGCGCACTATGTGTTAGCCAAGGCTGTGCGATGAGTCCTATCCTTTTCTCAATGTTTGTCGATGAACTTGCATAACAAATAGAACCGTCTTGTGTTCCATGTGTACAACTACACGCTCATATTATACAAGTTGTGTTGTTATTTGCAGATGATTTTGTCCATTTGCATGATACTGTAAACATAAGGGGTACAAAAACGTGTTGATGTCTTAAAAATGTTTTCGTGATAACTACCATTTGTCAGTTA